AATCCAAAATTTGAGTATTTTTCTATGTTATGTTCATGTTTATGTTCATAAACTTTTTATTTAATGAAATATGTTTTCATAGTTTGTGTTGTCCCTTATTATCAATGCAAAATGGTCACTAACTAAAGAGGATTTATGCTGATATTGCCCAAAAACCCTATTTTGTTCAGGCGTTTCCAAACTTTTGGAGGGCAGTGTAGAAGCTGATGCGTAGCGCCATTAACACGCTGTATATAGAGTAATACACAGGATGTAGAAGCTGATGCGTAGAGTAATACACAGGATGTAGAAGCTGATGCGTAGAGTAATACACAGGATGTAGATGCTGATGTGTAGTGCCCTTAACACGCTGTATATAGAGTAGGGAGGCACAGAGGAAGTTTACTAATCTGTTTTTTTTTTGCATGTATATTTTTGGGGAGTAAGCAGGCAGGTGTATGTTCAGAGAGGAGCAGAAATCAGAGATGGAGAAAATGTGATGCCACTAACATCAACCATTTTCTAGTTTTAAATAAAATCATATTTTTAGCATGGTTATATAACATCATATCACAAAAGATGCCAACATTCATTCATTCATTCAAGATCGATTAGGTTTAACTCAAACATTTCACCATTTTAAAACACATTTCCAAAAAGTCTTTTATTATATGTCTATATTAATACACCAAAATGTTCCACCTTGGCCAAGCATTAAAACTGTGGCTGTGTTGTTGCTGCTGTTGTTCTTTGGGAGAGATTTCTGCTTTTCCATTCAATTTCTTTATTCTCTTATTTTCAACATTTGTATAAAAGAGTCGTTGGATAATCTCATCATGTTTAACCCGTATGGTACTTATAAATGTGATCATGATGAAACATCAGTGAGACCAAACACTCTAATTCAGTTCAATTCAATTCAATTCAATTCAATTCAATTCAAGTCAATTCTAAATGTCTTGCATTCTTTGCTTTCTTCATTTTGTCCTAAGGGGATGCTAACTTTAGCGCTTGAATGTATATTAGTCAGAAGTGACAATGGAGTTGTATAAATATCCAGTTTGATAAAATGGTGATGATGTTTAATAGCTGCTGAAACTCGACCAGCTCAGTGACAGTGTTGATGTAGAAGGTTAACTTTGGTTACGCCCCAAAAAGTGAGCTGTGTTCATCTGAAAACCAGCAGAAACACAGTAATTATGATCGTTTAAACATTTCCTTCTGTAACTTCACCTCCTCTTTAATCCTTCACGCCTACAGCTGAGCTTCAGAGCAGAAGACGAGCAGCGAGACAGACGAGGTCTCTGCACATGGTGTGTGAAAGAGTGATGAAGCCAGAGTTCTGCTCGTTTTTATTTACTGGATCGTGAATCACATCTGATTAACTTTTGGAGAACGTTCAACTTCCTGAGTCTGAACTGAGACACCAGCTAAACCGGGTAAACATTAGGTCAATAGATATATCACACTCTGTCATCGTTTATAGCCAGTTTAAAAATCATCTTAAAAATATTGCCTGATTTTATTCCTTCTTATAGCCACCAGTTTATCATTGTGCAAACCGGTGATGTGAAGGATTCCATCACTTCCTCATTTCTGAGCAGGTTTAATGTCTTCTCCAGAGAACGTGGGAAATAACTGAACCTGAACACACACACACACACACACACACACAGTTTGTTTTACTATTTTTATGAAGACCTTACACTGACATGATTATTAATACAGCTAATTAATGTTTTGCTAAACCTGAATCTTACCCTAATCTCAGTAACCAAAAAGGAAAGATTTCAGCTGTTAGTTTTTTTTAATAAAAGCTGCAGTTTTTTGGTTAAACAAACAAACAAACAAAATAAAATAAAATAAAGCAGTTTTCCTCATGGGGACCAGTCAAATGTCTCCAAAAGGTGAAAAATTCCTATCCTTGTGGGGACATTTGGACACACACACACACACATGCGCGCGCGCGCAAACCGAACAACGGACCAAACCAACATGCTACAAGAACAAATGTGGTAGAGAAAGTCAGCAGTGGGTCACTCTCTCTTTCTCTCTCTCTCACACACACACACACACACACACACCACAGTGACCACTGTGACTCATGTCATCATGGATTTTAACTTCTCCCACACACTTTTCCTACAGTTTAAGTACACACACACACACACACATACACAAAACAACATTCACTATACACTATATAAGTAATAAACATTGTGTGTATTACTGTTACAGTACAATACTGAGTGACGGGGTGGTGTGATGAAGCCGAGTGACTGTTACCACCCTGAAGTTGATTATTTTCCTAAAACAGCACATCCCTAAGTGTTTTATTCCTCTTACACAAACAGCAACTTGCCAGTTTTACGTTTTTGGTTTTTTTTTTTTGACTAGGAAATGACACGTAGTATGTTTTATCCTTTTATAGCATTAAGTTACAGTTAATGACGTGGAATGTTCTGTGAAACAGGTTAATTTCTGAAGTCAATATGACAAAAAAAAACGCAGCTTGTCATGTTACTGAGAAACCGCAAAGAAGTGTAAACTCCTCTGTCCTGAAGATGTCGGAAAACTTCAAGTTACAGCTTTACCTCTGACACCGGAGACTCCTTCCATAAATGCTACGTAAACACATTTCTCCTTACAGAAAACTTCACCATTCTGACTCTGTGTATGTGGAGCGTCGGCCGTACGAGTCCCTGTGAATGAGCTGTTACTATAGAAACGATGACGTATTAGAACGAGCGCATGAATATAAACCTGTGATTTGCAGCTGCACTACTGTCAGAGCTGCTGTTCTAGAAAACTAATCAACAGACAGGAAATGTCTGCGAACACAGCAGCTGTACTGGGTTTAATACTGCAGTTGTACACTGATACTAATAATAGGAGCTGCAGTCAATCTCAGTGTGTGTGTGTGGCTGAGCACAGCATCTGTATAAGCATTTGCACACACAGTGGGTCAGACGTTCCCAGCATTACTCACACACACTCACACACTCACTGTGTCTGTCTGCTCCATGTTTTACAATGCGGTCGCTGCCTGAGTTCTGCTTCACCAGCAAAAAGTTTCCGCGCTCACACGTGTATAAAACAGTCTCATTTATTTGATTGAAGAATACGATAACATGTTTAACATACAAACTAAACACAGTGGAAATAAACCACGCTTCAAACACTAGCAGGGTCTGGGTGTGTGTGTGTGTGTGTGTGTGTGTGTTTGGCTGAGTCCACATCTGGAAGTCTTCAAGTAGGAAAAAGAAGTTGGGTACTACTCCAAAACGTCTAGTGGGTGTGTCTTCCAGCTCAAACAGATTAAAAATGTTTGTTTACCATATTTCCCAGATTATAATTCTCCCTGGACAGTAAGAAACACTCTACAGTTTATTGTTTATACTGTAGACAGCGACGCCTCCTCACAGCCCCAGGACTCCCGTATGGATCCTGAGCTCAGGTTTCTGTCTGTGTGGAGTCTCACGAGTGTGTGTAGGAACATTAACTACCCTGTAAATACAGCATTGCACTGAATGTGACTAGTTATCTTAGCTAACAGCAGTGTTACCTCGCTAGCAAGGACAGAGATGATTGACAGATGGTTCTTGTATAACACTGACAAAACATACTGAATAGACAGAAATCGATTTTGGAGGAATACAGCGATGAAGGATGTTGGCTAGCCGTGTATTTCTGATTACAGATCAGCGGCTAACAGCAGATCAGACGGAATGAGAGGATTATTTGGGAAGCTCTTCGATGATCATCCTGGATACGGAGTTCCAGCCCGTGGAGGCGTCTCCGCGCGGGTAATCGGCGCAGGTCCCAACCCAAATCCCCACGTCCACTAGACCAGCGCTGATGCCTTCACACAGGCCCTCCACTGCATAACACACACACACACACACACACACACACACACACACACACAGAGTGACCACTGTGACTCATCTCATCACAGATTTCAGCATCAGTACAGATTAATAAACCATGTAACAGATGGAAAAATCCACCGTGTTTGTGTATAAACAGTTTGTACACATACAGTGTGTGTATATATATGTGTGTGTGTGTGTGTGTGTGTGTGCGTATATATACAGTGTGTACACATATACAGTGTCTATATATACAGTATGATACATATACAATGAGCGTACGTATACAGCGAGTGTATAGTGGGAAGTGGTAGCTCAGTGGTTAAGACAGCTGACTTCCAATCGGAAGGTTGAGAGTTCAAATCCCAGCACCACCAAGCTGCCACTACTGGGCCCCTGAGCGAGGCCCTCAACTGCTCAGTTGTGTAAATGAGATAATTGTAAGTCGCTCTGGATAAGGGTGTCTGCCAAATGCCATAAATGTATGTATACATTGTGTGTATATATATATATATATATATATATATATGATATAAAGGATGTTTCTCCATTCTTGTGCTCATGAAGTAACTAACACTAAAGCTGTGTGTGGGACTGTTTTTTTTTTTTTTTTATTCCACTCTCACCAGCTCCTGTAGTTATTAGTTTTGTTTGAATTTGTCTGCAAAATTTTCTAATGAACTTGTTTCCTGTTTCCCAAACGATACAGAAATGTGCAGTTTAAACCCCAGGACCTCTGGCCAGAACAAAGCAGTTAGTGAAGATGAATTAATGAAAGCAGTAAATGTGTCGTGCCTCCACAACATCCGCTTGCTCAGCGATTATGTAACACTGTGTGTGGAAGCATGAAGTATGCTGAGGGCTATTATTATTCCGACTGTTTGTCTGTGACTCTGTAGTCCTTATCCAGTCATTGTTCGCACACTCACATCTGTACCTTTCATACATCTGGAGGAATAAAATCTCATGGGCTTCCAGGTGGCACTACAGAAAAGTGTTCATCCTATCATCCGGAGATTGCGAGTTTGAATCCTGAGGATGCCACAGCTATCCGTGGCTAAGAGCTAAATTAGCAATGCTCTGTGGGTGGGAGGGGCATAGTCTCTCCCATGTCAATCACAGCAACACTAGCCAATCATGGGCATCTGTGAGCTCATGTATGCGGAAGAGGGCGGATAGCGCTTTACTCTGTGCAGTGACGCTCCATAGGCAGCAGCTCAAAAAGATGCAACACCTTCAGCTGTCTGAGAGGAAGCACGTGTTAGCCCTCACCCTCCCGGGTGTCTACTTCTCAGTAAACATTCAGTGAATAAGACGCTACCTGTGGATGTGCGGTGCATGTTGATGGTGGAGTTGAGCTCTGGACTGCCCTGGTCCAGGTAGATAATGGACTCGACGGGTAACGGCCCCGTGCACTCGGCACCGTTAAAGGTGAAGTACCAGCGGCCGCAGCAGGCCGTCTTACACTTGAGCCGGAGTGAGCCGCTGAAGAGCACTCGCAGGGCGCTGTCCGAACGCAGCTTAGTGAACGTGCAGTCCTGCGGGGACGGAAGACACACACACACACACACACACACACATCTCTCACACTTAAACAACACACTCACCATCCACGGCTACATTTCTTTACTAACATTACTCCTGAATTGTGTGCCCTGATTGCCTAAGAGCTTTTTAATGATGAAAGACTATTTTTAAAAAGAAAAGAAAAAAGAAAATGTAAAAAACTAGACAAAGACTGTTTATTTAAAAGAAAAGAATAGCAGAGACTCTTTTTTTTAAAAAATATATAGACTATAAATTAAAGACTATTTTGTAAAGGAAAGGAAAAGTGGAAAAAAAAGAAAAAACGAAAGAAAAGAAACAATGAAAACTTAGCAAAAAAACAAACTAAACCAATAAAAATGAAAAGATGGGAAGGAACAGAAAAGGATGGAAAAATTAGAAATTGGTACAGGCGAACAGTGGAAATGTGCAGATAGATATCTATGCTTTCATTTTGCTATAAATGAGCGAGTGATGGAAGTTTGTTATGAACAGCTGTAAGCGTGGAGTTAGCGGGATGCTGTAGGAAGCAGGGAAAGATTTACAGCGATCTTGCCGAGGTCGATGCCGTAGTTAAGCGCGCTCCACGCACACTGCTTGTAGTTCGGCTTCCACGGTTCCTCGAATCTCTCCATCACACACTCGCCCTTCTCGCCCTTCACCCCGTCACGGCCGGGGATTCCCGGGGTACCAGGAATACCGTTCACGCCCGGATTACCATCACGCCCCTGCACTCCAGGAGGACCCTGTGCACACACGCTGTACTGCAGAGCAGACGAGAGAGGAGACGAGGGAAAACAAGAACACGTAAAAACGAAAAGTATATATATCCTTTTTTTTATCCACACACACACACACATCTTTTCATAAATATATTCATTATATTTGTTCTTTACACACACACACACACACATCTTTTCTTTTCATAAATGTATTCATTATATTTGTTCTTTACACACACACACACACACACACACACACACACAATTATAAATATATATATATATATATACATTGTGTGTGTGTGTGTGTGTGTGTATAGAACAAATTTATAAAAAGAAAAGAAAAGAAAAAGAAAATGTTTATCTTCATACTATAAATGTATACAGATAAAAAAAAGAAAAAGATTTACTTCTAAGTGAAAGTACAAAAAGAAAATATAGAAAAGAAAAGAAAAAAAACCTTCCCTCATCATTGAATAAAGAAAACGTATAAATAAAACAGGAAAGGAAAAGAAAATGCTAATAATAATAATAATAATAATAATAATAATAATAATGGAAAAGATAGAAAGAGAGGAAGGAACAGAAAATAATGGGAAAATGTTCAAGGCAATGAAAAATGAACAATGAAAATAAAGAGGGAAAAAAAGGAACGAACAGAAAAGTTTGGAGAAAAGTACACAGGGTTACAGACAAACAATAAAAATGAAAAATAAAAATAAAAATAAATGAATAGTTGATAGTTATTTCTAAAAAGGAAAAAAGGAAATAAATTCATAACTGAACAACGAAAGTGTTTAAATAAAAAAGCATTCATATATAAATGAATAACAAAAAGAAAGGAAATAAATGAAAATGCACTTCATCGTACATTAGCCTTGAAGTAAACTTCGGCCGCGAACACGTCTCGGCTGTGAGACTGCACGTCTTAGTCACGTGAGCCGACGTGTAAACAAACTCCTGAACTGATGAAGCTCCACAGAAAAACCAGCTTAAAGATCAGAACCACAATCCACTACAACATCTTTCCTCTTACTGTCACAGTTACTCTGCTGTAATGTAAGATCTCGTTTCAGACATTCCTGTGGTGTATACACACACACACACACACACGCATGCACACACACATTACACACACACCGATATCTGACACACACCAATCTCCTGTGGGATCTCAGCTAATGGAAACCAAACGGTTGGTGGTCAGCATGACACAAAAAAACACATTATATACACACACACACGCACACACACACACACATATACACACATTACACACACACACTCATACCTGACACACACTCGTCTCAAACACACACCGATCTCCTGTGGGATCTCAGCTAATGGAATCCAAACGGTTGGTGGTCAGCACGACACAAAACACACACACATTACACACACACTACACACACTACACACACTACACACACTACACACACTACACACACTCCTAACCCCGCTCAGCCCACACACTCCAGGGTGTGTTTATACGTCTCCCAGGAGCTGAAGAAGCAAATTCTTCAAAGCCCAGACGAAAAAGTGCCAGCGGCGCTGAGGGGAAATGACTGTCGACTGCCAGAAGGAGCTAAACACAGAGGGCAGTTTGCTCACAGTGCATTGTGGGTGCTGAAAATTCCCACAGGTCAAAGGTCAAGCACAGAACTTATCCATGACAGGAGACTCTGTCATTACCAAGGAATATTTTAAATATTCTTCCTTCTGTGTTAAAACAGCGGCTTGTCCTTCCTGTTCACGATGAGTTTCCCTGGATTTACACACACTACTAAGTATTGGCGCCCCCAAGATCAGACAATCCTGTGTCCAAAATGGCATCCTACTCCCCATTCTCTACAAATAACAAACTGCATTATGGGTATTCTGTAGCCTCTAGAGTCCGTCATGAACACTAACTCCAAGGAGTGTTAATAATATTCCCCCCAAAATAGTGCACTGTGTAGTAAACAGGGTAGCAGATACTGGAATTAACAGCTGCTCGATGAGGTTTAATCTCGAGGCTGATCGGATCATTTATTGTCCTACGTATCCCATAATCCTGTGCGTCAGCTCCGGTGCTCAGAGGTGTTTATGTTTTTGATCATGTGGCAATAATGAAGCCCATGCTTGCTGGTTAGCAGGCAAACTTTGTACTTTCTTATAAAAACTTGGTGTTCAGGAAGTGTGTGTGTAGTGTGTGCAGTGTGTGTGCAGTGTGTGTGTGTGTGTATGGCAGGGGCTCAGAGGGTCAGGAAGCTCTAATGCAAAGCTCTCGTTCCTCACACGAGCCACAATAAAAGACTTTCTGTTCTCTCCACAGCAGAGACGACTGAAAGCGTGACACGGCTTTTCTCTCTGCTCTCTGATGCTCTGGATCTGTTTAAAGCCGCAGGAAACTGTGTGACCACATCGTAATAAAGTGCTCATTCGAATATTAGGCCACGCCCATTAGGACACTGACACATTGTTTCATTAAGTTCAACTTTGTTAGATCTCACTTTTGGCATCATAGAAACATTTTTAAACAGTTAAAAAGGGAAAATCTACCCTAGTTTCAACTTCTTTCCTGGACACTTAACGGTTCCTACTTTACCCACGATGCCATTCGACTACCTGCTGATAGCATCGAAGTGAGATTTAGCCTTCGCGTCATCTGTACCTAAGGAGAGCGATGCGGCGGCGCTTTAGTCCTTTAATCTGTCCAGCTCTCTCACCTCCACATCTGTAAACTCTGCTCAAACAGATCAGCTTCCAAAGCTTCAACTTTCACTCTAAAACCGCCGTCAGTGTCGCTGCGTAGATCGCTCATGAGCCGAGCCCAGCCTGCAGTGCATTGTGGGACTTGAGTCCAGTGTTCGCTTCAAATTTTTCATTAATGTGTCGTTGAAGAGAAAATAAGCTCTTGGTCTCTTTTAGATTTTTTTTCCTCCAATTAAACATCATTGTATCTGCGCTAGCAATAACAGTGTCCCGCTGTGACATCAGCAAGACACACAACCGCTAACTTCTCACAGCAATAACGAAAATACAACAACAACCAACAAATTAACACCAGACTCACTAAACTCATCACACACACTTCAACAGAAACATACTGAGCGTGCTTGAGGGTGGAG